ATCTCATACTCACAGTGTGTTATTTAATCCAGATGTTTAGTCCTATGGCTGTAGGCACTGTTAATTTTAACTTCATATGGTTTTAGTCAATTATAATTAACAGTAATTGGTCATATGAGGCATATAGCATTTTAAATCTTGTGCCAGTAGCGTGATTACTGCCCTGATAAAAATGCACAGATGATATCACAGCAGAAAAACTGACTCCTACAGAAGAGGTTAATAGATTGCTTTATTATTTATTGGCACATATATGTATGATCTTTAACCTCATTGTCTTTCCAGAACATGGTCAATGTATCCTGCACTTCAATACACTTTTTATGTTAAAATGATGGAAAACCAGGAACACATTTATGCAAACATTCTGTATGGTAATTATTTCAGGTTTTCTAATAATGAATCATGCAAGCACTCTTAGTTGAATATTAGTTGAATATTAGCGTATAGTAATAAATCTAATACTGTACGAACTTATTGTGCCAGCCAAACACATAACAGCTAGATTAAAATGTCTGATATGATACGATATCAATTTTTATTTTTTTTTTCAAATCAGTGGAAATTACAGTAACTTACAGTTCCTCTTGAAAAAATCTGTTGAATTTACTTGCTTTATTCCAGGCCAGTTTTATGTCATTATTCATAGGGTAATTTCCAAAAGTTGACTTAAGGCTGGATTGGAAATGGGAATACTCTGCTTTTTCTGTGTTTGTTAAGATGAAACTAGTTTCTTTTTAGAATTTTGGTTGATTTCAGAAGAATGCTTAGTGCAATAACAAGATGACTCTGTGTTTGGGCTGAAAAAGCTTGTAATACCTGTTGAACACAGTTAAGTATTTTGCTAGGTAAGTGGAGTGCTTCATAAGCAGGAGAGTCTGAGGGTGATTTCATTTAGCCACAGCTAGAATTCATGACAGGTTCACTTTAAAACGCCAGATCTTTAGTGGCAATTCTGACTTTATTCTGGGTCTCTATTCCCTTTTAAACAAAGACATGATATCTGTCATGGTTTGATGAGAAAAGAAGTTTAGCAACATGATCACTTGACATGGCTACAAATGATGGGATGTTTTATTCTTTGAAAGGATTTTTTTCTTACATCTAGATCAGAACAAAGTGTGTAAGGAAACTACACTGTAGCGTGATGAGGTCCAAAGGTGTTAGCAATATTAGTGTTGGAAACCCACATAAGTAATCAGACTAAAAGTCAATCATTCAGGCCATGCTGTGATTTTATACACCAGACCAAGTAAAAAAAAGCTTCAAAGGTTTTTAGAACTTTTAATAAGACTTATGGGTTTATGGGTGCCATTTTTATAGCTATCTTCGCATTCAAGCCATCCAAACTAATCACTCAAAAAGATGCTGGGAAAAAAAAAAAGATCAAAAGCAGTACTTATGCTCTTAGACATACAATAACCTTGCATTTTTCATCAATTACTTTTTTTTTTCTTTTTTCTTTTTAAGTATTCTTGAATGTATACGTTAAAGAGTGAGAGTGAGCATGGCAGTCAGGAAATGTGATTCACTGTAACCAATGAAGAATTCTATGACTATTTAGATCTAGAATGATAAGATTGTTTCTTTTGTCTTCCTACTACTCTAATACAGTTGCTTTTATTTGTGTAGAAAGCTTTAGAGGTAAAGATATATCATAAAATTCCACTAAAATTTTGAACCATGTCACAAATTGTTGGTATTTGAGCTCAGAGGGCAACTGAGCACCATGCAGCTGCTTAGACCCCGCCTTCCCCCCAGTGCTGGGAAGGAGAAAATGAAGCAAAAGGGTCAGGAAACAAGATAAGGACAGGGAGGGATGTCTTATCCATTACAGTCACAGGCAAAAGACAGACTCATTAGGGGAAGAAAAATGAATGAAAATTTAATACAGACACTAACAACAACACCACTTAACAGAGTAGGACAGTGAGAAGCATTGCCATATATGCATGTGTCCATATGTGGCTGTGTTGTATATATAATATTCCATTGTTACTACAGCAGATTGTTTTCAAGACAGGTTTTTCTATCGCTATGGAAGCTTCATAATAACCATAATTAACACAGAGCAAGTTATAAGAAGGTCTGCAGTAGCCCTTCAGTCTTTCAGTCTGGATATACCATAGTGGAATAGAAATACCTGGTAAGGATAGAGGATTTACATGTTAGTCTACAGTAGACCATAGAAGCAGACATCTCTGACCAGATAGTAATTTGTCTATTCAATCCAGTGGCCTATGTCGATGGAGTCCAGAGTCGCAGGGCTCATTCAGATACTGAGTAAATCTGTGCCACATTTTGGAAATTCTCCTGCCTTCTGAGACATCCCTGCAAAACTACTGCAAGAATACTCCTGTAGGCAAGGAATATAGATGAATGCAAATGTGGTCATCAGCTTGGCAATGTAGAGACAGACATTGTACTGTAATAGAATACATACTAAGTAGAGACCAATTTTGATTTTATTTTTTTGGTGAAACATGTCTGCAATACAAGTTCTGCATTCGTATGAGTAAGGTTCCATATGGCAGCTGTGGCCCTAAACGTGAGCCCCAGGTAGGATTTTAAGATATCGGTAAAAGCCTGTAGCCTGACATCCTGGTTTATGGTGTTAGACTATAAATATTTCTATACATACTTTTACAGATGTATACTCATACTTTTACAGACACTTTTTCTACCTATGTTTTAAGTCAACAGGATAGTCGCCAGCTTTAAACTGAAGGCCCCGTGCTTGGGGTAATACTGTGAGCCTTTCTCAGAGCAAAGTGGTGCCTACTGAAGCTATGTGGTTTTTGGATGAGCCCTTGCTTGCATCCAGCCAGCACCGAGTACAAGCAGAACAATCTCAGGGCTGTCTGCAAAAGGTCCAGCAGGTCCTGAAATGAAGGTAATTACAAGCTCTTCACTAAAAACTTGAATAATGGTTAACTCCCCAGTTCAGAGAGCAAGGGTATAACCAAAGTGTATTTGAGAAACTGTAACCTTAAGCCAGTGTTTTCACATAACTGTAGAGTGCTTGAAAGTAGGTCCAGTGCTGCATCCTACTGTTTGAATACAGTATAGACATAATTGAGGGTGATGAACAAACTTTGGTTTAACAAACATAATTTTGGAATTATTTTTAAATTTTTTAGACATCCCAATTGCTTTATTGTGGAAGGTCTTTTGGGGCAGGAATACGGAATCAATATATATCTGTCCTTTTGTGCCTGTGTAATGCATCCATGTATTTGTACTTCTGTGTGCCTATATTTGTTCTTACTAATAGGTGCTCCAGCAGAAAAATAATGAATGTGTTAGAATAACAGAGGGGAAGTTAACATAGACACTAGAGGAAGAATGCTTTTAAGAGAGTCAGGTAAAGGTAAATTTAACTTTCTGATGTGAATTTTGATGAATAGTCCATCTTTTTTGTCAGTTTGTTTAGTCTAGTTTGTTTTTCAGTGTTCATACTTGCATCATTCATCAGATATTCTCTTACTGCAGGCAGAAATCATTCAGGAAGAAATCCTGAAATCCTTGTGCTTTATCCAAGCAAAAGTGTCAGAGAGGTCAATTATTTCTGAGTAGATTCAGACCAGCAAAACATGCTTGTTACATGTTTTTTTTTTTTTCCACAAATTCCGCAAGATATTAATATGCATAATGCAGATTTCAGGCACAGTTAAGTCTTGCTGTGGAGAGGAGTGCAGCAGAGGGTGTTAGAGTCTTTGATGGCCTGGGCCACGTCTCTTCATGCCTCTCTCCTCTCCACAATGCATTAGCATAGGGCAGCTGATGGAAGGGGAAGGGAGAGTCTCTGTGACTAACGTGCTGATTTGGATGTTTTCTCCCAAAGCAAGGCACCCACCAAGGATTGCATTGTTAATTCTCTGAGTCTTAAGAGTCAGACTACTGTGCTCCTGGGGCAGTACAACTACATGCTGCTGGCTATTCGGGGCTTGTCATGAATTGACAGTCTCGGTCTTCAAATATGATGGATTTTCATAAAGTGAGAAAAATACTGTTGGAGGAAAGAGGGCCACATTTCAAAGTGCTGTAAATAGCTTAGCTCTGTTAAACTCAGTGGAATTTGACTGCTAAGAGCAGTTCAGGATTTTGATAATATTTTGGCAGAAATGAGCCTTGAGGTTCAGCCATAGTGAGTTCATTGTTACTGTTATTTTGTCTGTAGGTTTCACAGCAGGGAGAAATGAAATGTGTGTGAAATCTTTCTAGCTATCTGAAGACCATCTGTATTTTCTTAATGAATACTGCACTCCTCTTGGAACCATGAAATATGCAATATAGTATGTTGATTCTAAAACAAATTGTGCGGAATTTAAATTTTACATATACACTGAACCTTCCTTTATTTATCAGATTCTCCTGTGAAATCTACCAGTGTGATATTAATCATTTAGCAACTACTACAATAAAGAGCTCTTAGAAGGCTTTGCTTAATGTCTTGCATTGGAGTAATTACCTAGAGGCTATAGGGACTTGATTCTACCCAGTAAGGAATTCTGAATTTTAGCTTAATACTTTTTATGATGACTCTGTTCTTTAGTGTAAACCTTTAATTGGTTGTAAGCAGCCTATCCGTACTACAGCTATGAAACACAAGGATGGGGGAGGAAGGATTATACCTGCAGCCTACCAGAAATCCTTTGAAATCCTTTGAGGAAAACTTCAAATAGTACTAAATGTTAATGCAGAACAGCAGTAAAAAATTCAGCTGAATTTCACAAATGAAAATGGGTATTTCATAAGTGTCCCAGAAGACCTATGAAATGTCAAAGCTTATAAGCCATTAAGTATTAGGCTGCTTGGATTCTGACTCAGAATTGGGGTGGTTTAATTTTTGCATTATCGTTAACACAATGATGCAATACATTGAGGTTTCACAGAACCTTTTAAAAACCAAGATGGCATGAAATGTGGTTGGGAGATAAGAGACAGGCTGTGCCAGAGAATCTCCACTGCTCTCACTTACCAAAATAATTGACACTTCATTATGTGAATATTGTGGGGGTCTGGGACAAGATCACAGCTTCTAAGAGCAGATGCACATCCAAGCTGGAGCCTCACTCCCTGTTAGAAAAGGAGACAGGCATGAACCACTCCTATACAGCAGCCTGACCCTGATTTCCATGAAAAGAAAGTTTGTACTACTGAGTGGAAGATGAGCCCTAGTGCACTTTCCCACATTCTCCAGTTCGGACAGTGAGGGGTCAGGGCTGAGAACTGTGCTACAAAACATACCTGCACTGTGAGCTAGGTGGCCAGGGAGAGAAATAACTTTTTGATAAGTCCAATTAAATTCTTTGCTTTACGTACCTAACACTTGCTTGACCTAATCCACTCATTACTTGAAGAAATAGGATAGAACAGTTTGGCTTTATAATGTATAAATTGCTGAGTTTATAAGAAGCCATCGGCTATAAATCATGTATAGGAAAGAAAAACTTATATAAAATAAGGATTATAATAAAAATTGTTAGGGACCATTAACTTAAGGCATTGTTACGCTCTATGAATATTGCAATTAAGCATCTGCTTTGAAAGATGAAATGGTCTCAGATTAAATGAACTCCTTGCATATACAACACTAAATATGAGTGTAAAATGTTTGCAAAACCAGCACCACAGTGGTGAATGCAAACAGCTGCTTTTTATTATACATTTTTCTTACATGATGGAGTGAAACTTTTCCTATTCATTTGTTTTCCTGGACATGGAACCATGCCTTGGAGAAACTGCCACATGTGCATCAACATAAGTTGAAGGTATGGAGATTAGGGCATCCTACAATATCATCCATTCTTGAAGAGACCTTACCATCCGAGCCTTGAGAAGCAGAGGTCCGGCTGAGGAAGCTCCACAGTGATGTTCCTGTATTAAAGCATCACAGAGAATGAAAAACCAAAGGATCCAGGGGTTCCCTGCTTAGCTTTTTGATGCTGATAAACAACAAAGCAGTAAACAAAGCTCTGGCAAGAAATAAATATTGTGTGCTTACCCTTATTTGCCTTTGTTTTCAGAGTTGCTTGTCTTTGTGGAACTAAGGACTGTTTCCTAATAATAGTGTTTAGAGTTTTATTGGAATGGCAAATAGAAATTAGATGTATATAAGGATTTTAGGACTGAGATGGTGTCCTGGTTTGGGGCCCCCCTATAGCCCCCTCCCCTGCCACCAAAAAAACTCCACCACTCACTCAACCCAGGACAGATGGGTTTGGGGGACTCCTAAATTTTGTATTTTTCAAGAGAAACCTTTATATGTGCTTGCGCAACAAAGAATCTGTTAAATACTGACTTGTGCAATATGTGAATTCCACAAAGAAAGCTGATGCATTTCGGAAATGTAGGTGAAGAATTTGGATATGTTCAAACTAACTGCTACATTTGTTAATTACAGGTGTTGAACTTTCAGCTTGGGCTGTGTGAATAATTTATTTTTTTGTTCCGTAGCCAAACTGAAAAATTAAAAGTTAGGAAAAAAAAAAAAAGAGGAAAAGAAGATGCATGTGGATTTAACTGAAATTAGCATATTTTAATGTTTCTCACTGAAAAAGAAAGCCAATGCAGTTTGCATTTGATGCCAAGTGAGAGATTTATTTTCCTAGTTGGGTGATATTTGGCAAAAACAAATCAGTGGGAATGTCAGGTAAGGATTAGGTACCAAGTAAAAATTCTGGTCGGTGTTCCTTTTACTGAATACAGTAATCATCTGTTGTTCCTGTTCTTATGCTTGATCTCTTCACTGTAATGAAATTGGGAGCGGGGAGGGGGAAAAGAAGCATCTCATATTTGAGTGGGCAACTCCCTCACTGCCTAACATATCCTCCTCCTTTTCCTTCTCCTTCCTGTTGTTTGATCTTGAAATTCTTCATCACAATAGTCCCTCACAGAGGAAAGGAGTGCCTGAAAATCAGACAGAAACCCTCAGGTCCCCTGCCATGCAGGACACAGAACACACCATTTCAGAAAAGGACAGGAGGGAAGAGTTGAGGACAAAGGGATGAACTTTTGTCAGGGAATGAAGACATTACTTGATGGGTGGAGCGGGCAAGAGGAGTCTGTGAATAATGCATTTTTTGGTGAGCGGAAAGGCTATGTGCACTTTAGGGATAGCATCCTGCCTCACCTCGGTGCCCATCGTGTCCAGGCACAGCCTGAACGGCAGCACACCCGGGCCTCTCACCTGGGCCCTGGGAGGTGGAATCTCACGCTGGCTCTGATTCAGAGCAGAGTTTGACTCTCCTGCTGCTGATCGTACAATGCAATGTGGCTGCAGCAGAGAGGAGGTACCTCAACACAGCTTTGGTAGGTGCTTATGCCCCTATGGTGACTTTACCTGAAGTGAGAACGGCTGCATTAGACGGAAATTAATTTCCCCTGTTGGGCAGCCACCTTGGACTGTTCCGATACACAACTCCCCAGTTAGCTGTGACGGTCTCTTCAGAATTGGGAGCTATTTCACTCTGTGCCTCCCTAGAATTTCCTGCCAGTGCTTAAAAGGAGCATTTGAAAGGAAAATCTGAATGCTTTCTGTGGCTTGACTTTTCATCACACACTCCAATGTTCAGGGATTAATCTCGTAAGTGAAATCCTGTGTAGACAGATCTGTTTACTTACCCACAGTGTTTGTAACATTGTAATAGATATAAGCTAGGGATCTGTGTCATGGGATGTTGTTTAGACCATACATTAATTTATTGTAATATATGCATTGTTAAATTCAATATTACGTGCTTGAGGGTAGGTAGGATTAGTGGCAGGCTCTGTTTTTGCAAGCAGGAAGCAGCTACTTAGGATGTGTACGTGCGGGTACCGAAAGTGAAATGGGAAACAGCAACTGGCAATGACTGTAGTTCACACTGAACTAGAAAATAACATCAGATGAGGCCTTGTTGAGTTTTCTGTGAGAATTAGACTTTCCTTTTCACTGTTTGGACCTTTCCATGGGCTTTGGGGGTGTTGGTGTTGGCCCGGTGGTCTCTGCATGACCATTCAAGGGGGCCCTGTGAAGTGGGGTTTTGCCCCTCGTAGTGGCTCCATATGCTTTCTGCAGAGTTCAGAAATCCCGAGCCTTCTGTACAGTTTGTTGCAACCTGCACCTTTCCCCACCCCCACAGGCACACATGTAGCAGAGTGATGGAGAGATTTATTTCCACATGCTAGCAAGGACTTAATCTTGTGAACTGCTGGATGTCTATATCTCATCTCAAAGTCAATAAAAGCTAAGGGCACTCAGGCTTCTCCAAGATCAAATAAATAGAAACCACAACGTCTTCCAGGAAGGGAAAAGAAAAGACACTCCATGTTAGCCCTAATCCTGTTTGTTCCTAGGGTTAGTAATTCTTTTGAAAGAGCACTGTTGCAGATTTTTGTAATTTCTAATTTACAGTAACTTAATATCACTTGCCCTACTAACAATCCATTTGTAACTACTCCTACTAATACTATACAATTTTGAAAGGAAATGGGACTGTGAGATGTCACTGTACTTTAAACAAAAGCTACGAATTAAATCAGGACAATTCAAATATATTGATGTTCTCAAGGCTACCCATACAGTTAAGGTGATTCAGATGTTAAATCAGCTATAATGCTTCTGCCCATAAAACATCAGGTGAAATTCTAACATACTGATTAATTTGTTATTTTTGCTCTCTATTCACAACACTGAAAAACCAGGCTGTATTTAGAACTCCAATGTTTTATTCATAAATCCACCTTTAAAACAACAATAAATTTTAAATGCTGCTAGAGCAAAAATCATTTAATTTACAAGCAACTCTAACTACTTCCTTTCAATCAAAAGAATTAAATAAGCATTGTAGTATTATTTATTTATTTATGTTTTCTCATACACAGGCTATCCCCATTGATTACCTTGAGTTAAAGAGAAAACAAGAAGAAAAAAAAAAAAAAAGGAGTCAAGTGCCCATCAGCCAGCATAGCTTTGCATAGATTTCAGAGCACAGAGAATGAAATGGAAACCATCTCTGCAGGAAGAGTGCTTCATAATTTAAAAGTAAAGTACACAAAAATCAACTGCTATGTGGTTATTGCCTCATATGCCATATGAAGGATATTATCACTCATACTTTTTAAATAGCTCTTCAGAATGGACTTGTTCTGTTTGGCTTGTAGCTGTTTGCATTTTTATCAGTCTGGAGGAAATGTACAAATTGTGGATGAATTTGCACCCATTCAACTTTGGATCACAAAGATTTTTTAGAGATAAGACCAATATAAAAACAATTCAGCAAGGGAAAACAAGCTTGGATAAACTCCACTTTGCCTCACAGAAACGGTACGGTAAGACAGCTAGGTTTCCTTTTCATCACCATTAATTTATGTGAATGTAAGTTCTGAAAACTCAGTGGTTATTGATAAGAATATAAACACAGAAGTTGGATCATAGCATTAGGTTAGCCTTTATCACTGATAACTGTCAGTGCTCTAAAACTCAGTGCAAGTCCTGGAAGAGGTACTTAACTGGTTCCAGACCCCAGGAGTGTACTTCAGTTAGCACAATGCCTTCCTGCAGCTATTTTACTCTGTCTATTAATAGTACACTTTGACTTTCAAAATCCCGTGTTTCATTTGTCTGTCTGAGATCCAAAGTGAAACCCCAAACCCACTTTATTTAAAAGATGTGATACAGTGTAAAGGTGAAACACACTTAAAATGCTTCATTTTGCAATATCTTCTCAAGCTGCAGCCTCACCTTAAACATAATGGTAATTGTGGATTCTCTTAGTTTCCAAAGAGCACTCAGATACAACTAGTCATTTCACTTCTGTCCTTCAAAACTAACAAGCAGAAAGCTGCTTGCATCTTTATTCTACCCCTTGATCCAGAAAATTAACATTCCCACAGAAAATCTTCCTCCCCAATTTGCTCTATGTTTTACTCACTTCATAATCCCTTTCCCTCCCCTTCCACTCATTAATCCTCTCTGCACACTACAACAGTTCTTTGATCATTCACCACTGAAAAGTCTGTGCAAATCAAAATGATGTTATTTCATGCTGGACTTCTAAGGTAGGATTTGCTTCATCTAATTTAACTGCCCAGAATTTATATATTTAGAGTTTCAGACATTCATCTATACTTCATTTACAGTCAGTGGAGAAGGAAAGGCTTTTTCAAGTATATATTCATCCTGCATATCTAAAATACACATCTTATTAATTATTCCTTGGAGATATTTGAAAGGAGAAAGCCTAGGTGACAGGACATATATGTAAAGCTATATGCCCAGCCTTAAGACAGATAAAGTTAGGTGTGATGAAACAACTTTACCAAAAATCTAGTTAATTTCTAACTACTCATTCTAGTTGGGAGGCCACTGTTCCCTATACATTTCCAAATTATTTCCTCCTTTTTTTTTTTTTTTTGTTTTTCTCTTCTAAGCCAAATCAGTTTGTGTAATATTTCCAGCCAACTCTGTTGCTGCCTATTGAGATGAGAGGCAGCCAAATCTACATCAGATGATAACATAACTGAGGATGTGCTAGAATAGTTAGCTTCTTACTGTGGAATAACAAGGGAAAGTAGTAACAATTTCAGAAAAAGTGATCTCTTCAGGGTTGCTCAGATCTACTCAGCTGTTGAGTGTTTACATTGCTTATGACTCAGATTTATTTATTTATTTTAAGATATTTGATTTCAGTAATAGTTGATGTTTAAATGCTCCTAGAAGTTTTGTGTGCAGAATAAATGCACGAAATAGCATAACAGATACTAGCCTTGTATTATGTATTCCTTTTAAAAAAATGGAAATAGTTTAATAAAAATGCAAGGGTTCTGTTTGGACACCACAATACAAAATAGTAAAAGAATCCCCCCTTTTTTTTTTTTTCTTGAAGCTTTTTTTTTTCTTTTACCTTTTTTTTTCTAGCCGAACTGATAATTTGAACATAGCAGATTTTGTGGATCATGAATTGTAATTTCTAAGAAAAGTCTTAGTTGTTTTACACTTCCCTGTTAGACGCTTCTGTTTGAACATGTCTAGATTCTATAACTTTTAAACATTTTCACTCCTGTTCTTTTCCCAATAAATCCCAATTCTCAGTGTTGCTTCCTTCTGCTTATAGTTCTATACCAGCAATGAAAATCCCATAAAACTGTCCCATTTCCTGCTTTGCTGCTATGACACTGCAATTGCTGTGTTCCCAGCCAAAAGCTATGCCTTTTTTCCTGCTCAAGAGGCAGCGAGCTGGTGCTGAGCAGTGGTGCTGCAGGAAGAGGTGAATTCTCTCTGGCTACAGCTGTGCATCGTGATCCCACAAGGTTGGTGGAGGATATGGTAGGTAGAAGTGTTCCCTTGCCACGTGGTGGGACATTAGGGGAGATAATTCTAGGTTAATTTACATAGTTGCAGCCATTCAGCCTTATTCACATTTCAGCTATGAGTACACTTTTGAAAACTTCATAGGCTTTGGGTTTAGGCCTTTGCGCTTCCTCAGCTGCAGCGCTTCCTCTCCTGGAGCAAACTGACAAGTGATGGGTGACAATTCTTTTTCACGCCTCCCACCACACAGAGTTACTAAATTCATATCCCCATCTCCTGGGCTGAATCAGGGCCAGAATATTCATCACCTCATAGGACAGATCCTTTGATGAATGTACATGACGAATACATCATCCAGTCCAGCTCACCATATTATCAAATAACTTCAAAGAGAAAGTCATGATGTAGTTTTCTAGTTTTAGCTGCTTTTGAATTTTATCAGTGAAAATCTGCTGAACTTAATAACACAGCAATAGACAATAATGTAACCAAAGACAGAGGCCAGACTGCATTAATTTTTGTCTGTCCTAGCTTCTAAGCTTTGTGGAGCAGCCTGTTAATTTCACACTGAGATGCAATGCACATTTAATTGTCCAGCCTCCACACCATCAAGTGATACAGAAACACAACATAGAGAATGGGATTTTTAGTTAGGAAGGACAGTTCAGGTTGGGTTCCTCACCTTTTTTCTGATGCGATTAAAATATCCTCATTAATGATCTGGATAAAGGAATAAAGAATAAGCTTATTAAAATTTTAGATAATGCCAAGCTGGATGATTTGAAAGCATTTTGCAAGAATCAGAAAGACCGGAATTCAAAGGTTATTGATAAATTGAAGAAATAATCTAAAATCAGGGAGACAAAATTCACTAAACACAAGTGTATGGTTAAACATTTAGGAAGGCAAAATCAAAGGTGTAAGTACAAAATGAGTAATAACTGAGTTGTCAGAGATACTGCAGTGAAGGCTATGAGAGTTGTAGCAGATCACAAATGAAACATGAATCCCTGCTGGGATGTTATAACAAAAAAACCCAAGTGTATCTCATTCGGTGATATATTACTAAGAATGATGTATAAAGGAAAAAATTACTACCTCTGTTATGTGCCGGTGAAAAACTGGAACTTGGGCAACGCATTTAAAGAAGGATCTATAAAGAACCAGGGAAAGGTGACTGAAATGAGAGAAAAAAGCACTGCTGAAGCAGTTGGTCTTATTTAATCTAGAAAAAAAGAACAGATGGGAACATGGCAGCAGACTGTGGCGACTAAAATGTTAGTATAAGGATATTCCCCATAGTTATCAGAGTCAAGAGAAAAGTTACTTTGCAGCAAGGAAGATTCGAAGCAACTACTCAGAGGAAAAACAGGTTATTCCCCACTTTGGAGCATGGAAAGGTCGTTCCTCGGCAGTTTCTGGCATTCCATTTGGCAGAGATATTGTAGTTAAAATCAGTCTATCTCCAGACACTACATTGAGTTCTTAAACTCCCTCCCTGACAGAATGTTTTTGATTCTATAACATAATCTATGAAACCAATCAGACTTTAAGAACAGTGGCAGTTTTATTTATTTACTGTGAAAAATGTTTTAGAAGAGATGAATATAGATTGTCCTAACTTAAGAGGTAACGCAAGTACAAACAGAAATACATGGAAGCTTTTTTATTCTACTTACACTTTACTATGGGATCTTGCCAAGGTGAATTATTTCCTTACAAAATATTTAGTTAAAGGATGCAACAGATGGGCAGGGATTTTTTCTTGTTAAGTGTCTATTAAATCATAATTTATGCCTAGTAGACTATGAGCTCTGTCCAACAGGGGACCCATACATGTGCAGATTCAGTTCTACTCATAGATTATATGCTTAATAGATAAGTAGGTGGATATCAAACAAAAATCAACACAAAGGAACTTTGAAAACAAAAAACTAAGACCAAAAAATATGTTGATGTAATTTTAGAACAAAATTCAGTGAAATTACCCTTATATAATTATAGAACCAAAATAGATTATCTCCAGCAGATATTTGGGGGTTTTTTGAGCCACGTGGATCCTATGCTGTTGCAGGATAATCTAGTGTGTGCTAACAGTATGCCCTACTAGCAATGCTCCTCAGTGAATAAACCAGGTATTCACCTAAAAAGGCTGTTTGGCCACAATATCTTGCCTAGATAAAGAATTTTGTTTGAAGGTTTTGCCAGTGGGTTCAGAGGCATACTATATCTGGAAACTGAATTTGATAAAACACACAAAAAACCCCAAGTAAGTATTTTCCCTGATGAATTCGAGATAATTAAAAAGTAAGCAAGCTGAATTACAATAACTAATTATCCCCAGTCTGGCCTGCAGTTGTATGTGGGTTTAATATTATGCAGAGGTATAATCCTGTTGCAGTCAAACAAGGTCCGTTCAGGAGGAAAGGTATGTGACCACATCACTACACTCAGCATCACCTCAAACATATGAGTAGTGTGGGCAGAACTGAATGTTGCCATCCCAAGAATGAAATAGAAGGGCCTTGTCATCATCATATTGAGGTTTCTACCAGAAGAGGGTGGAAGAAAGATGGGATGTGAGGCAGAGACAAAAAGTTGCTTAAATAAACATCTCAAAATATGTACCTTTCATTCACACTGTGCTAGATATCAGACAATATCATCTTGCTTGTGTGAGGCTGATTCAGAACAACTCGAGATACTGGACATAAATTCAGCTCAGCATAACCTGTTTTTCTAATAAGAGCTATTGTTCTTCTAGCCAGCTCTAACAAACTCTCATATTTATGTGGAAGCTGTGTTGTGATGCAATTTTATTTTCTTGAATTTTGATGATGAAATAATAACCCATTATGACTTTAAAGAAGAATGTTGTGCCAGTGAAGAATTTTGTATGGAGTATCTTATTTTCTTTGTACTGTATTGAAATACATAAGGAAATAGTAGTGGGGTCATAAACACATTAGCACTGGATTTTCTAGTGTGGGTAACCTTTAGATCTACTAGGTTTCACATTCCTTACTGAAAACTGCAAACAAACAAAAGAAAACAGTATGTGTTAAACTATTACAATACTATTGCAATCTGTAGATTTCAGGATTTCTGTCTAAAAGGTATGACATTTTTAAAGCACCTTTACCTAGCTAATGAATGAATTTCTTAACTTCCTTTTTAGATGTGAAATGTAATATGTGAAACAATAAGTGAATTTGGAAAGGCTCTGAACTTCCATTCAGTTATGTTTGCAAACATGCAAATGTTCATTTGATTCATTAAAAACCTTTCGTGCAGGGCCTCTGACCTGACTTGGTGCATCCTTCTCCTATGCTTCCATAAGCATATTCAGTCCTCATGTGATTCATTAAAATGATTAACATGTGTCCCCAGATTCAAGGAATTTCACCAGATACTTATCAAAACAGCAGAATTTCTTCTGCTTACTTTCGTAATTTCTCTTGCCTATCAGTTCCAATTCTATGCAGCCTGTAATTTGAAATATAATCAGAATCTTACCTTCTATTTCAATTATATGGAAACTATCCTTTTTGAGGACTAAAAAATTCTATCCCTGCATAGATATTGTGTGCTGGGGTATAATGAATGATCTCTTTAATCAAGAGCTATCCATTCTCCAAATATGTGAAAAAGATTGAGTTCATTCTTACACAGTTGAACTCTGCAGGAAGAATTCCATAGTAATCAAGTGAGGGAAAGTCATCAAACAGCACAAAATTTAGACATAAATTTGGTTCACAGTTTATGTAATACCAGTTGTAACATTTTGCTTTCATTAAGAAGAAATTGCCACTAAAAAGGGGGTAAATTCACATTAAACACAGGAGTGCGAATTTTCAGAATCTTGCCAAATTGATCAGGCACTGAACTGTAACAGCAAAAGATTTTTTCTAAATGAGTTTATGGCTCTTTCAGCATAACATGATTACTATCACCAGAGAATATGACAGTGTCTTTTGCAGGTGGTAGGATGTGATACTGTTTTAGTTCATGAGAAAGATATGGTTCAAGAGTTTAAATAAGTACGTAGTATTAAATGCTTAAATCTGTACTTACTTTTAACCGCATTTTACTAGTGACCTTTTTCTGGGATTAGCCAGTGTCCACACTTGTCAAGTCTATCCTCCAGAACAGAACAGTGTCATGTTAAGTGCCTCTTGGCATGAGATGACTCTTCAAATGTGCTAGGGAGGTATTGGGAGTGCAGCAGCTGGCCTGAGGCATAAACGGTACCAGGGTTCACTCTAAGAGTGTAATAATACAGATCACTCTAACAATGTAATAGTATATGTCAGATTACAAAACCTGGGACATGATGAAAAAAGTGACCTTATATATCTAATTTTCCCACTGTCTGGATCTACTTTTGAAGATTTGGCCCATAATTTCACTGCAGGCAGATTTTGGAGAGATCACTTTAAGGGCAGGCTTAGAAAAGCATTTCCATGGGGCCAAAAGCTGTGGGAGTGCATGCACCCAAGCAAGGACAAGTCTTCTGACATTCACGGGAGAGGACTGAGGGATCTGTGTCTTTCACTCATCTATGGCTCCCAGAGGCTAATGATGGCTCTGGAATTAGTTAAAGGAAACATGTCTATATTTTACAGAGAAATGTGGTACTAGAAAATCTACCTGTGATTCCACATACACTGTCACGATGCCGACACTTAGTTGTAGTGGGATAGCTCTATCCCCGCGCTGCTGGCGCTGAGGTGTGTTGTTGGCTGGCACACCCCTGGCAGCATGGTGCTTCTGTAAGTTAATGCAGGTACAGCCAGATAAGCTTTCAGTTAACTCACACAACAGACTTGCTTCGAGAGAAATGATGCCGTTAGACAGTCTGCCACCTGCGGCCATATCCGAGGCTGACTGAAAGAGATGCATGCCACTAGGGCTGCTTGAAGAGTGCATGCAGATTGTTAAGTGTTTAAGGGATCTGAGAAGTTGGCCAGTGAACGTGGTGCTGCCATTGGTCTCCAGGAAAGAAAATCTCTGGCACCCGTGGGTCAGTTCACAGATGCTGTCTTGGAAAGCTCACCATGGCACTTCTGTCTGAGGACATAAGAAGGATCAAACTGGGTTAGACTAGTAGTCTATCTAGCCCAGTGGTCTGTCTCCAAGAGCAGACACAAGCAGATGCCCAAATGTGCAGTATCATAGGCTGCCTAAGAATCATTTTTTAATGGCCGTTTGTCTGCATGCTTAATTATGAGCAGCTTGTGTTTGAGTGAACAGTTGGGGAATGGTTATTCCTTAGCAAAAACTCTTAGCTGTCATTCTCATGTTTAACAATTTTATCTGGACACTTGGGGAATACAGTCTTTGTAGGTGAGACAAGAAGAAAAATATTGTGTGGAAGGAACTTAATGTGATTCTTACAAAATCAAGACAGTCTGAGGAAGAAGGAAGAGGTTTGAAATTGGCTTAAAAGTGAAGCAGCAGTTGTTTCAGCACAGAGGCTGGCTTTGTCTTTCATGTTTCTCCATGGAAGGTGAAAGGTTGAACTTGTATTTCTCTAAGGGTGTGCAAATGGCAGTTATTTATACTGCTGCATGGTGGAAGGAGATATGTACCAGCATTAGATATTTTAGACATTACCTAAGGATATGAGGCTTAAGTGATTACTTTCTCTCCTTCTCTGCCTGTCTCTAACTGTGTTTCCCTTTTTGGCTCTCTCTTTCACACTATGAGCATATG